CCACCACCACCACCACCACCACCGAAACTCAAGTCTGGCCTCCCTGCGTCTTAAACTGACTGGCTGAATTCCGGATTAAGGGTGAAGTACAGCCAGTTTAATTTAACAACTGCTTTGAGTTGAAATGGAAGTCTTCACATCTGTTTCACTAAATTAAAGGTCATCTTGCTAACTACTTCTGTGCAATCACAATTCTTGCATTCGAGCGATACAAGTACTCTTGGTGACCGTGAACTGACCGCAAACTTCTAGCCTCAAGACAATGCGTGATTAATAGTGTCCGAATTATCAGACTAACTACAAAAAACACAGCTCTCAAATCTGTTTCTCGTCGCTTGAACGTTGAATCCAAAATGTGGCGGGAACTGGGTTTGAATAGTCTGGAAACAAACCGTGAAAAAAGCAAAATCGAGGATATGATGCGTTTTGTAGATTTGCTCATGACGTACCCGATACGTAAGAAAATTGACTTTAAAAGTTTAGCCAGGAAAGAAATAACCTGCAAGCGCAACGAAAAGTCACACGGGGAAAACTAGCCGCATTCTATCAATCTAACAATCGTATAAGCAACATGAACAACGCGTTCAAGTTACCCGGTCCCGGGATTTCGAGATTTTGCATCTGATTTCCACGCCGTGTTTGTGATTTGAAAACTGCGTTCGAACCACTTCTCGATGTTTGCTTGATCTTCAAGGGAATGCACTGAATTTATTGACAACACAAACAGTAATGAATAGAACGATGTAACCTGGCAGCTTCTGCATAATGATCACTACCACAGTTTCCATATCTCAGTTGTAGCTCACTTTGTTAGGCTCAACTCAGTTGAAGCCGGTGGGGGGGAGGGGAACGGTTTCTTCGCTCACTGAGGCTGTCAGTACACATTAAAATCTGTCATTCCGCCAGAGCGTTTTTATGGAAGACGGACAGGTGTGACTTGGTTCAAATGCGCTTACCTCAACCGTGTGATTATGAGTTAGCAAACAGTGAGTTACTTGTAGTCGGAGGGTTGGTCTTAGACAAGAACACTGGTGTTCTTAAAACACACCGCAATAGCCCTCGAGATCCCAGTATGATTGATGGCGGGTGTCTTGGACTGTGACTTATCACCCTTTCATCGAACCTCGAGAAACGCTGCCACAACCAAGCGTAACATATAGTCTCCGCTGAGGAAGCCCTATTCACTGCCTTCCCGTGACGGAGGTGTTTTCACACCAAAGTGAGAGGTCGAAAAGCCTAAATCTGGGGCTATAACCAGGTCGTTGAACCACTGGAAGTTCACCTAGGGGAGTTGGTTAAAAACCTTGATTCAAAATCAGCCAAGAAGAGGCGTACGAACTACACTCACCCACACCTTCCTGGTTGTGGTAATGGCCACTGGCTCGATTAGGAATGGAGGTGTATCGGTTACCTTGGACGTTTGACTCTGTCCAAAGGGTATATGATCCAGTGAGGTGGATACAGGTCACCAAATGGATAGCGGTTTTCACACTGCTCCCCCGTCTTGCGGGTCAGGCGTTGACCAACCGAAGGTTCGGGTTGTAAGTCCCCCAGGAAAATTCATCCGCTTTAGTCTAGACAACCAGGCAGTTTTCCAATCACAGACAAACCCCAGACTCATATTTTTGCCATACACATTATTGTATCGTGAGATCTTGGTACAGTCTGTCTTGTGCACGTGTGAACTGTAATAATAATAATAATAATAACAGTAATAACAATAAAAGATCCATACTTTACAAACAAATTATATGGTAAATTTCTTTGGGTACAAAGCAAATGGAGCGAGCAACATGGGATCTGGTGCTGAGATAAGTTAGGTGTGCTACCCGTGACAAGCTTACCAAGAAGGGTTGTGCAAATTATGTACAAGGAAAATAAAGAAAACATCTGATCAGCTGCTCCGTGATCAATTCGTAGTGTGCTTGCATTCTACCTGTGAGATCTCGAGTTCAGTTGAGTAGACAGATTCTCACTGCTGAGGGGGTTAGACCAGGTGGAAACAACTGCACAGCGCTTTCTTTTTTTCAGTTTCTGCTTCATTTTCTCTGTACACGACGAAATTCACCATATAATCGATTCAAATCCTGTAATACAATCATATACCAGAGGGGAATAGTTACCGTGGTCCCTGAAAAATGTTTTAGCCCACCATCGTTTATTTGCAAGTTCTCAAGCTAATGCGTATTCTTGGGAGAATGAAATTCGTTATGCTTACATATTGTCCGACTGCTAACTACACTGCTGGGAAAGCGACATCAGAACCACAATTCGCTGGAACAAATAACAATGGAATCTACCTAACCGCACCGACCTATGCTCACAAGTCCCACAGCACAATGAGATACAGTTAGATGACCTGATTTTAGTGAACGCTACCCTATTCACCTTCATTCACATCTGGTATATTATCATTGTTTCTCTGGTAGTGGTCAACCTTCTGTGATAGGAACCGCTTTGCAACTCTGTCCTTCTTAAGACGGGAATCACACTATCCCAGATCAAGACTTTCAATAAAAACTAGTGTCGAAAAGCTTTGGTCTGAGTTAAGGATGTTCAGTAGAGACTCGGTGGGATGACTGACTGGTATCAACGGGTGCACCTTGAGTGGATTATCTTATGCAACCTAAGAGGACGTTCGGCCTCCGGGATGGGAACCTCGAGATCATTGCAACCGGTGTTTAGGGGCACTGAGTGGTATGTCGCAAACAATAGCGCTCATTATCCTTGCAACCACAGCCTATATGAATTCTCTATCCTCTATTTGACTCTGCTCATAACATTCCAATCTTCCTTCTGCTCTTTGATCCAAATGGGAAACCCAAAGCGAGCAACCCTGAACCGGTGCACAAAAGTTCATACTAACGGTTGTAAAACTGAGATTGGAACCTATACGAGTTCCCAAGAAGTTGCTGAAAAGCGTCTGTGTCCACGTATGCACTCGAGCTGTTTACCCGAAACAGTTTCAGTAAATTGCATAGAATAAAAAGAGAAGTGACCTAAGGCATGCGTCTTTTGGTGTGCACACGTGCAGAGGGGAGAATTCCACGAGGTCAATTTGTGATCTTTAGACCAATCAGTGCAACAGAAAATCAGAGAAAAAATAAAGCGGGGTGGACTGAGGACAGAACGAAGTTCGGTCGACCGAAGACCGTCACCACTGATTTTGTAAAGCATTTTACATGAATCACGGCAAACCGATGTATTTCGTTGTGAAGCCAATGCAAGTATTATGCGGATCTAAAACTAATAACACCCGCAGTGACACAAGAATGTGAACTGCAAATGTTGCGCCAAATTTACCACGTGATTTTGGGAGTTTTGTGCGGACAGTTCCTGTGATGAGAGCTCAAATCATGCAGCAGCTCACTCGCAGTGGATGTCACGTGAATGGCCGGCCTCGCTATCGATCTAACCAGTATCGATAGGCCAAATGATTACTGATCTGTATTTCACCCACCGACGTAGTAAATCATTTTGACATAAGTCCCCTTAGCCCGTTCCAATCCAGTGACTTGTGTTCTTCCGAATCTGGGGCGTACAGTTATAACAGTTCCGTTTGTACCACATCGTGATTGACCATTACACGAGTAAAGTACGTCTCGGGCCAATTTGTACACAAAGGGATCGAAATATGGTCAAATGTCATGTAAGTCCTACACAGAGCTAGGGCAGGTATTGATGATTTTAGAAATTTTTGAATTTGAATGAAATGATCTGAAACTTTTTGAGAGTTTGAATTTATTCTCCTGCTAAAGTGACGAGCTAAATTTCCCTGGAAGTAAACACTAGCGATATTTAGTGGTAAATTCACTCACTTTCTAACGAATAAATTAGTTCAAAGGGTGCATCTTATGTTACCGAAGTTAATTAATTTTATCGTTTACAGTGTTCGTTCTTCCCACTTTCTGTCTTCTCAACACGAGCCTACAGGAATAACACAGTGTTAGAAATATTCCGAACCTGTTTGATGAGACCATCGGGAGATCTGACTCGAGCCCGTGATGGACAGAGTGAACGAAGCGTAAATTGAAGAGTCTGGAAGCTCTACACAGTCGGTGCTAAGATGGTCTAGGTGTGATGCGCTCAATAAGCAAACAAAGATAGGTTTCGATCCATTGTGAGAAACGATTCGACTAATTGTTTGGTGGCCAAGCGGGCTGAATTCTTGTGTTCAACCGAAGCATGTTGAACCGGCTGTAAAACTCTTGTTAGACTTTTGTTTCAGGCTTCGTTTGCTCTGTACACGACGACAGGTACATGCCTGTTTTTCTCTCCATAAACGCCTAGTTGTTCACCNCCGGGGCTGTCTGAGGGGAGCAAAGCGAATGCAAACGCGCACACGCAGGGACGCACATGTTTACTCGGTGTCATTTGAGGCATGCCCGTTGCTTAGCATTGCGGATCAACACCTTTTTCGGTTTGTCTGTGTACTTTATTCAGGAGTTAATAATTCGGTTATTTATGCATCTGAATTTTGAAAAAATACGATGGATATGAACTACTGATGAGCTCTAATAAGAAAGAAACTGGAGTCTAGTGTTTCCGAGTGCATGGTTAACTGGAAGAGTTGATGAATGTGCGTGAAGGATAGTCAGTTCTAATCAATCAGTCAATTTAAAAAAAGAATTGTATGGTAGCAAATGTAGTATAACGGTGTTCACCTACTTATAAGTAGTATAACACTAACCTGGTAGTCACATGGTGCCGGTAGTTGAGCCCTTGCTTCAACTTTCTGGGCAATTGCCTTGTGAAATACACGGGAGCATGCGGCGTTATTGAAGTCCTTTTTTCCTTGAGACAATGGTCGTTGTAAACCGTATTCGTTGGGAGCAGGAATACGAGGAATTCGAATATACTTCATCTGATTGTGGGTGTGTGCAAAGAATATGACCAGGATGTGCCAATCACTAAGGTATGATTGAGTGAGTAAATCCAGAATGTTACTTTCGATTAGGGAAAAGCGTGTACCCGAAGTAAACCGAGTTGGGAGGAAAATTACATTCAAACAAACCACAAAAAACGGGTGGTGGTGGGAGAGTGGGTACCCTGAGGCTCTGAGATTGAATCCTACCACCATCATCACCACCCCACTACCGTATTTCCTCGGAAATATCTTATTTGGTCGCAGCCCTAGTCCTGAAAGTAGGCTGTGGATTTGGAAACTCAATAACTAAAAGAACTAAGTAAACAAATTGTATTATTAATATTAATATTATTATTATTATTATTTTCTATTCCCAATTAAGACGTGTGTTCAAACAACTCTTATCTTGATCATTTCCTAAGGTGTTTGGCACAGTTACGAATGACAGCAGTATTGTGAGAGCGATAAATTGAGCTGTTATCTGAAAATCGGTGATCCGTTTGGTGATATCTAGTTTGGTAACCGTAGCGTACATTCTTAAAAGATTTTGAACTTTTTAAATCGTCCGGAACTCTTTACGTAAGGAAACGCTTGAAATGCTATGGCGCTTACGAAACTTTTAACTATCGACTGTTCATTCAATTCTCAACCAAAACCACATCAAATATTTGAAATCGCCAACTCATTCTATCTATCCAGTGTTTTCCGTCATTTCTCATTCAAATATTTACTCTCTTTCTGTTGTGTCCGTATCTCGTTTTATCACAATGTATACACAACAAGATATCACACGATGACACACGAGGAGCACACGTACCTCAACGGCCACACTAATCGTCTAGCCTCACGAGTACGATCACAG